CAGAGACCAAGTCTACGGGAGCCTATTAAAGGGCATAACTCTCTTCAAACAGGGGAGGATGGACAAGGGTTTTGGGGTGTGTTGACACATAATCTAAATACTGAGGACCTGAGTGATTTGCACATGTGGAACTGTGGAGTAAACGCAATCCAGGGAAATGTATTGTTGTGCATCCAAGTCCATATCTGAGGCCCAATATAATAAAACAAATGCATTACCTTTATGTAATGGGCTTGATTAGGGACATCATTTCACAGAATCCTAATGACCACAAAGACAAAATCAGGTTTGATACATAAGTTTTTTACTTGAAAAATACATTACACATCCAAAAGCAAAATTCTGAGCTACAAGAAGATCTATGATTCTATAATCTCAAAGCACTAAACATTAGTAAATTATCCTTTGTAGATATCTATTATAATGAGTTTGGGGCCAAAGAGATGGTAGAGTTGCTAAGCTGAAGTGATCTGTGTTGAACTGAAGGCAGCAACGCACGTTTTCCTCCATCTTTGAGAAAAATAGGGATAGCTCAAGTGGGTTTTCTCGCCTCATCTCTCTCTCGTTCCAGGCGTTCAATCTCCAAGGACAACTTATACACCTCCAGAGCCATTTTCACATCTGCCACATTTGGGAGACACTTCATGATGCTTATGCCTGCTACAACGCGCTCACAGACTGCAGGGACCTCCTGAAAGAGATAGAGGTGGTAAGAGGCTTCCCTCCAGATCACGAGGAGAATAAGTAATGACAATAGCAGAACAACAGGGTCAGGTCCAAGGCCAACCTCAGGACTAATGGGTGAGCAGGGAAACCAGAAAACACCTCGGATCCCACCATAGTCTTCCCCAGAAGGATATAGATCTGTTCTGAGACAGCTTCCCAGAAAGTCTTTTTGGGGACAGAGGCTATTTCTGCTAACCATCCAGAAATGGTACACAGTATATTATATGAGCTAGAAAGGAAAGTTAAGGGTCAGTACTTCCAGGTCTATGAGAACCGCATCTCCCTAAAGGAACTCGGTTTTGCCTGTTCTCAAGTGAGAGCATGAAAACTTGCCACCCTAACTGACAAGAGGGCCTCAAGGCAAAAAGAAAAAGAGAGAGTTCCTTTGAATGACTCAGAAATGAATCCTGACAAGTCAGAACTCACCCTTGCTGCCTGGGACAGAGCTTCGGGGCAGCACCCTTTATAGGGTTGGATAGCACAGGAACTTACTTCAATTGTGCCACTTACCCACTCACACTTGGGCACCTCTGGGTACCAGGTCCTGTCCTCTGAGCAGGTGATATTTGGGGAACCGACCACACCATAGCCAGAGTCACACTGGATGGTGACATTTTCAGATTCAATATACTGTTGCTTGTCCACAGACAGCTTTCCATGTTCTATCTCTGGTTTCAGACACAGAGCTACAATGAAAGCACAGTGTTAAGCAATCAGCAAATCTGAGAAAAAAGACATGATAACCAGTTCGAATTACAAAAATGAACTACATGTAGGTGCTTCCAGTTGTTTTCTCTTTCTTTCACTTTGGTAGCAATAATATTAGTTAACACTGTTATTGAGCACTGGCTCATATCAGATTCAGGGCTAAGCATTTTATGTGATTATCCCATTTCAGTCTCAGTTGGCTCTATGAAGTGTGCATTGTTATTATTCCCATTTTATCTAGGACAAAATGAGATAAAAAGAGGTTAAGAAAGTTGTGCAAGAGGCCGATATCCCTAATGAACATAGATGCAAGAATCCGCAACAAAATACTAGCAAGCCAGATTCAGCAACACATTAAAAATATCATACAGCACGATCGAGTGGGATTCATTCCAGGTATGCAAGGTTGGTTCAACATGCTCAAATCACTTAAAATGATACACCACATTAACAAAATGAAAAATAAAAATCATATGATCATATCAATAGATGCAGAAAAAGCATTTGACAAAATACAGCAGCCATTGATGATAAAAGAAAAACTCTTAGCAAAGTGGGAATAAAGAGATCATATCTCAGCATAATAAAGGCCATATATGATAAACCCACAGCTAACATCATACTCAACAGGGAAAGGCTGAAACCTTTTCCCTTAGGATCAGGAACAAGACAAGGCTGCCCACTTTTATTCAATATAGTTCTGGAAGTTCTAGCCACAACAGTCAGACAAGAAAAAGAAATAAAATGCATCCAAATTGGAAAGGAGGAAGTGAAATTGTCATTATATCCATATGACATGATACTATAGAGAGAGAACCCTGAAGACTCCACCAAAAAAATTTGGAACTGATAAATGAATTTAGTAGAGTAGCAGGTTGCAAAATTAATATTCAGAAATCATTTGCATTTGTATACACCAATAATAAAATATCAGAGGTAGAAATCAAGAAATTATTCCCACTTACAATTGCTTCAAAAACAAAATACTTAGGAATAAATTTAACCAAAGAGGTAAAATATCTGTACTCAAAAAATTATAAACACTAAAGATAGAAATCAAAGAAGATACAAATAAATGGAAAGACATACCATGTTCATGGATAGGAAGAATTAAAATAGCTGAAATGTCAGTACTACCTAAGGCAGTGGTTCTCAACCTTCCTAATGCCGTGACACCTTAATACAGTTCCTCATGTTGTGGTGACCCCCAACCATAAAATTATTTTCGTTGCTACTCTATAACTGTAATTTTGCTACTGTTATGAATCA